GGAGAAGAAGAGAGAGAGAGAGAGAGAGAGAGAGTGTGTGTGTGTGTGTGTGTGTGTGTGTGTGTGTGTTCGTTCCTTCACGGTCCCTGACTAGCATTTCATCTTCACTTCACTGGCAAGCAACAAAAGGGGAGATTGTTTTCTCCTTTAACCCATAGGAGTGCCCCTTCCTACGTAGCACATGAAACACTCAGCACTCTCAAACTCCATCGACAGCTGTTGGGTGCCAGGGGAAAGTCTTTCGGAAGGGGGCTTCTTTTCCTTATTAAATAAATGGGGCGTCCGTTTCATTAGCTGCAGCCGATGCCCTGCGATGAAAAGGATTTATGGAATCAGACCCAGCGACGTAGGAGAGAAGAGACCGGTGGCCAACACAAGCTGGGGTCATTACCAGAAAGACAAGAGTAATAGTCCTTATGCAGCCTGGGCAGTGTTGTCATCTCTTGTGAGTCTTATGATACGTGGTGGCTTTCTTAAAGCTCCAGCTCCAGGAATCATTTGACTATATGAGAATCTCAGCTTTCATTAAAAAAAAAGAGAGGATGCTTCTAGCTCTCGCTGTTGTAGAGTAAAGCTTGAAAATGAACAAAATACAATACATTGGAAATGCAGATTTACTCATGATGATTTGAACAGAAGGCAAATATAAAGACCCCCAAATGTATTTTTAATACAATCTCACAGGGGCGGGGGGGGGGGGGTGAGGTTAAGCCAATCTCATCATTTGCAGGCACCTGATATGTTTTCTGAAGTATGATATGTTTGGGGTTGGCAGTAGTGTCGATGCCGGATTAGCCCTTGGCATAAGCAGTGCAGAAGACTACTTGGGGCCTGGTATGTTTCAAGGCCCCGTGATCCTGCCTAATTGGCAACTTATGGTGCAATTCAAGTTCCATCTCTGACAACTGGACTGAAGGCACCATGCTAATTACCCCATGCTCGCGTCACTGTGTTTGTTTGTTAATATCATCCATTCTAGCAGCACCAGCTGACTTCTACAGTGTCTGGCCAATCAGTGCAGCAGCAGAGCCTCAGCCTAGGAACAAGACCTCCTTGTGCTAGGAGCTGTACAAACACAGACCAAAAAGATGACCCCGCCCCCAAAACACTTATGATCTAAGGAATATTTTCTTCCCACCCCAGTTTTCCTCTTATTTTATTCTGAGCCACTTTTCCGGGCACCTTTTGTTGGCCTTTCTGTTTAAGGTCATGTTGTGCCTATCCAATGTTGCTTTTCCATCCAGATTTCACCGCGTCACATTGAAAACATGCCAAATCTAGAAAGGTCTGTTTTGAAAAGGGTCTTTCGCCTGGATCAGGCCCAGACTTACTGGCAAATGGGTTCATCTGCATTGTAACAGGCTTGGGTATGAGCCAAAAATAATTTACACAATGGGAGTCATGGATGCTAAAAACAAAAAGGGGGGCCCATTGTTAAGCTTGTAACAAAAGATGAAGAAACGCTAATTCTGTGCAGCTATATCTTTTTTTCTGTGGATCCTTAGCTCTCCCTACTGGGTCCCCGTAGTCAATTTAGTATTTCTCGGTGTATCTGGGTCCGGTCAGACTATCCTCTCCTATCAACTCTTGGGTTCTGTTTGCAGCACAATGACTAGTTTAGCAGTAGGACGCTCAGAGATGCTGCAGACGTTACTCATGGCTGCATCCTGGAACCCAGACGTGAACACTCATTTCACACTGCAACCATTCTCCCCCCCTCACCCCCCGACATTTTCTTTTATCGAGTTTCAATATAATAAACAAAGGACACGATATTACTTCACTGGCAGAGTCTGACTAACGCAGAAACAGCTTTAAATCCTGGCAGACCGAGTGGCTTTTTCACCATGCGCTGGCTAATCCGTTCGGAACAACAGCAGCGCTAATGGCTTCGAGAAATGGAAATTCAGATCCCTTACCTTAAAGAAGAGCCACAGTATATGCATGGCTAGCACTTTCTTTTTTCTTGCAAACATAGCGAACTGACTCATCACAGTTGTTTCAAAGGAAACTTTTACAAGACGTTCACACACTGGAAGGGGGCTGCCTCTTGCACTTTCAGATTTCATCTCTGCAAAGTGTCACAATGTCTTTGGGTGGCAGTGCAGTGTACCAGATAGAGCACTGAACTGTGGGTACGGAAACACTGGCTCTGTTCCTGCCTCTGCTACTGATTGGTTGTGTAACCTTGGCTAGTTACTTTACTTCCCTGTAGAGCCGGTTGGAGTTTTTTCAGCGAATAGTAAATTGACCAAAGTGCAGTTTGGGGGGGGGGGGGGGGGAAAAAATTGTCACGAATTTGGGTTGAATTTGGCAAATGAAACAAACCATTAAGAACTTATTAAAAAAAGTTTTAATCTGTTAACTATTTTTCGCCTTCCTCTGCAGCATGGGGCACCTGTCACTTGAGGGGTTAAACTAGAGTAAATGGTGAAGTCTCTGTAACATGAAGTCTTTAACCATGACTTGAGGATTTCAACAACTCAGCCGAGGTTAGGGGTCTATTCCAGGAGTCAGTGGGTGAGGTTCTGTGGCCTGCAATGTGCAGGAGGTCAGACTAGATGATCACGATGGTCCCTGCTAACCTTAAAGTCTATGAGAACATTTTGACTCTTTGTTTCAAAATGACGTTTTGTTTAGAAAGCACAGAATTATAGGACTGGAAGGGGCCTCAACAGGTCATCTAGTCCAGTCCCCTGCACTGAGGCAAGACTAAGTATTATCTAGCCCATCCCTGACAGGTGTTTGTCCAACCTGTTCTTAAAAACCTCCAGTGATGGAGATGCCACAGCCTCCCAAGATAATTTGTTCCAGGGCTTAACTATCCTTACAGTTTTTTCCTAATGTCTTAATGTAGATCTCCCTTGCTGCAATTTAAGCCCATGCAGTTACATCTATTAAAACGAGGGGGAGATAATAAAACATCCAGAAACAAAATGAAATTAAATGAAAAACCCAAGGAAAAAAATGAACCAAACCAAAACATTGGGAGGATTTTTTTGTTTCGGCCCCTGAACTGAAAAATCAATTATTCACTGAGCTTTACTGCTCTGTCCCTGTGTCCCTTCCCATCCTTTGTCTTTTCTATTTAGACAGTAAGGTCTTCCTCATTGGGTGGGATCCGTGTTTTACTATCTGTCTGTACAGGGCTGAGCACTATGGGTCACTGATCTCAGTTGGGGCTCGTCAGGGCTAATGTAATACAGAAATTAATAATAGGAATGGATATCAAGCTAAGAATGTGCCGTGTGTTTGATAGTACTTTTGTATTCGCACAGCTTGTCAGTCAGACCAGTAGGGTAAAGGAGACCAATGGAAAAGAGACTTCCTCTTTCGTCAGTAACTCAAGTCAGTGTTCAAACCCATATCTCGGGAGCTGAGAGCTAATAAAGATTATAACAATTTGTACTAACACGGCAACTTCATCATAAGGTCTCATAGAACCTCACCAAAAGTTCATGCTGTCTCACCCGACCCCTCTGGTGTGAGCTAAATTTCCCCATTTTCAGTGAGCTTGGCTGTGCAACTGAGCCCTAGTCCATCAGTGCGTGAGCAGCTCAACCCTCCCCCACCCCATGTAGGTGCAAGGCGAGACAGAGCTAGCACCAGCACCACCCATCCCCGTAAGTCACCCTGGTGCAAGCGCCAGTTTGCACGGGAGCCGTGTGCCTCCATGAGAGGTGTATCGACACGGTTACACCACTGCACATTTCACGAGTGTAAACAAAGCGCAGCGAGAAAAAGCCGTTCCTGGTCAAAGAGCCAACACAAGACTCGTGTACTGCTTAAGTGTGAGTGAGTGAGTGAGTGACTTTCCTAAGATTGTACTGCAGGGCCATTGGTAGAGTCAGGGCTAGCGGTTTGAAGTCCTGAGTCCCAGTCCTACTTCTCTAGCTATGAACCGATGCATCCTCCCACTGCATTTTTGCAAACCCTCCCCTCCACCTGGTTGTCCCACTGGAAAAACATGCCATTTTCCATAGGCAGGGGAGTTTTGGGTTACTAGGAACACAAATCATTATGACTAAAATGGCATTCCCAATTTATTGTTTTTGTTTTATTTATAATTTTATTCCTTGCTCTACATTTTCCATGTGTCTCATGTCACTCGCATCCATTCAGGACTTTACATGGAAACTTGGGCTCCTCTCCACTGGCTAATGTGTTGACGGCTTTATAAACAGTCTTGTTTCATTGTTTTCTCTGCATGTTTCTATCCCAAGGGTGTGTGACTAACGTTATGTTTGGTACAAGTCCGAGCATTCTGCGAGATGGGGGAAAGGGAGGGAGAAAGAAAGGCAGTCATTAATGTGATAAACTGGAGAAAATAAGGAACATAAAATTATTCAACCCCGGCTCCAATAAAGGAAAATCTTGAGAGTCCAGTTTAAAAAAAAACTGGCCAAAGAAAAAAGGCCAGATTTTCCATGAGCTGCAGACAATGCAAAGAAGTGCTAGATAAATCACCTACACATAACTAGATTTTCCATCAGCTCCTGAAACACAACCCTTTGAATGAAAAGATCTCCTTCTGCTGGCGGTAGTAGAAGGGTCTTTACTTTCACTAAGGTACAGCCAAACGAAGGCACCATCACATGCACAGATGGGACACAATTGCTCACATCCTGCCCCCTAAACTGCCAGTGCAATTATTTTCTCAGGCTAAAAACCTGACCGCATGTATGCCGTGCAAATCAGGAATGCTCAATGACACCGCTTGCCCCTATGCATTCAAGGTTTCGGGTGTGCAAAAGTATGGGTGCCAATTTACAGGCAGCTTTTGAAGATTTGCTGCGGTGTGTCAGAGGTACTGCTTAAAGTGACCTCATCATTCAGATCCTCAGTGGAGGGATGTTCATTTACACCAGCTGATCTCATAAATTTTTAATAATCCTCTTGTGAGTTCTTAATGACTCCTTCATTAATTAATGTTTTTGTTCGTTCTGTGAACAAGTGTTTTGTTCAATGTACTTATCCCACACCCGCAGCGCATGGGTGGAACACACACACACACACACAAGATTATGATCTTTTCCTCACCCTTCCAACCTAGTAAGGACCAGCAATTGTTTGCAATGTGAATTTTGCCCGAGTAAGATCCGCAGGCTTTTCCCCTTAACATTTTTCCTTAACCTGTACGCTATCAGCACCAAGAGGGATATCCCTTCTGGAACTATGGAAAAATGGACTAAAATAAAAGCTGGTGGTGGTCATGCTTCTGTAACCTAGGGCAGTGCAGTATCAAATCAGTGCTCAGCTCCTATGAAAACCTTGCTGGCTGTGACGATCGATACTGTAGTTAAGGTGATTTTCTGACATTAAGAAATAGGAAAAAATGAGTATTCTAAGGCAATGAAGGGGTGAGGAGGGGAGACTGAATTAACACATCTGGTTACGTAATTACATTCACTAAAAAGTTTACAATCCAAACTACCCAGACGTAATTGATCGGACTATTGTGGTGTGTCACTTTCACTTACTCATATTAAGCAGTTGGTTTCACCTAGCTTCACCCTGGGCTAACCTTCGGTGTTGACCTGCTACAGTACACTTATTAAAGCTGCAATTATGGGGTGACTCTTAATAGCAAGGTCTTGGTTCAGAGGAGGGGGGGAATGTTTCTGTAGCTCACATGTGACAATTAAAGATAATTTAAAATGTAAGTAATTGAGCTGGGTTTCTGGAAACTACTGTAGAGGTCTTGTCCCAGGCATCTGACAGGCACGGTGGTGTATTTTGACAAGTTGTGTGCAGATTTCCATTATATACCAAGGAGGAGTTCTATTTTCTTTGGAGTCACTGGTCAGGAAATGGTGCTTGTGAAAGGTCAGACCTGGAAGACTCAGGAGGGGATGAAGGTGTTACTCAGATTTTATACCCTGGGGATCTAATTTCAATCTAAATCTTAAATCTTTCTCAGCCTCATGATTCTTGCCTCCTGTATAATCTTCAAGCTGCAGAGAGATAGGGCCTTATCCAAAGCCAATGCAAGTCTTCCCATTGACTTCCATAGGTTTGGACCCGTAGAGAGGCACCAGGCATGGTAGACCTGAGAGAAATTGTCCTCAGTTCTCTGAAGCCCTGGTACCACTGGCTTTTTTAAAATGAGTAATCACTGATGTTCATAAAGTTTAGAGGTTTGGCTAAACACCCACGTCTGGCTGCTTTGCCATCCCCTTTCTCAATTGTCCAAAATACTCAAGCCTGCAGAACTGGATGTGAAATCTCAGTGGTCTCCAAAGATTTGCCCAAGTTGGGATAGATGGCTGAACATTCCTGAAACCACACCCTGAAACTTCTGGAGGTTCACCAGCCGCTAGCAAACAGTTAAGTGTTGTCGTCAATCTCCAGCACCTCAGGCTAGTGAGTGGAAGTTAGGGACTAACTCAGGGTCCATCTTTAATTAAGGGACTGCCATCTGACCACAGGGATAGGAAGTATATGCTTGATCGACTGTTTGTGTACATCCTTGACTCCTTTCTTCTCTCTCTTCCTTCCTACAAAGCTCTTAGGTGACCTACAGGTACCCATTTAAGAAACCAGAATTGTAAGTGTGTAATGTCTCTCAAGATACAGGGGCTTGGATTTATTAGTGTACTGTGATGAAAGATCATTGACATAAGGCGTTATATAGGAGGCAAAATTACAGGATTTTTGTTTTACTTTTTTTTTTTAGATTGATTTCAAGTATGACCCAATCACTGCCCCGTTTTCATTAAGTAGCCATAGCTATGTGGATACATAACACACAGCATGTTACAGGGATCCAGAGAGAGATGGAACAGAGCTTGTATCATGGAGCGTCATGCAGACAAGACTATGGCTTCCCACGAGTTATTCCGACAAATGCCACCGCGTTGAACAATGCAGCAGCACTCGCTGCAAGCAGCATTCCTACAGCCATATCCCAGTGTCCCTACAATCTGACAAGTGAGGTTTTATAGTAACACCATGTGGCTGGCTCCACTGTGGCTGGAAGGGGGGCTTAGAGACTCAGATGTATTTATTAGAATTGTATATTTACAGATCTTCCAATGGTAGTGGAAGGAGAAAAGAAAGCAATATGTAGCTAGTTTTTAACACCAGCATTTGGATAACTGGTGTTGATTGTGGCAAGACTAATCCAACCTTCTCTACTTTTGTCTGTGCAGAACTGTTGTAGAATATTTTGGGGGCAGCCTTTTTTATGTTTTTAAACACATAACACATAGGAAAATAACACACTATAGAAACTTGGCAATGGATTAGTTTGGAGTAGCCAAGTTGGGCATGGAAAAAAAAATTAGACAATAAAAGGTTGTTTCTAGCCAAGTTTTAAGTGAGTACACAATACATACCTTTTTTTGCCTTACTTATTGGCCAACTTGGCTAAGGGCTCATGGAAAACAGTGAAATGGAATTATTTTAATTTCTGCATGCTCTTTTTTGACCAAGCAAAAGTTCTTATGAGCAATAATTTAATTATGGCAAAAGAGGAACATAGACATCGCTTTAGGGATGTACCATAGCAAAACCTATTTTGTGTACTGTACTCAAAACTAAGGTTCATTTTCAAGCCCAGATGATCTAATGCTAATGCTATTTATGATTATTTTAAAATTATTTATTATAAAGCATGTCATAAAGTGGAAAATTACTGGTGCCGACCACATTTCCAAACAGGCTAATTGAAAACTGAATATTGAACATTTGCTTACTAAAGCTAGTGTGTTTTGTTATGCTAGGATCAAAAGGGATACTTTTAAGTTAACCAGTGGCTTTTGAAACGAACAGACGTAGCTGTCTCTCTTCCGGCGTGCTCTTTGCATGACAGGTATTCTCCAAGATGGCTTCAGTCTGCCATAACATGTTTCCACAGATTTTTGTCTTTTCCCTGAGGTATTTCAGGTGGATTGTTGATTAAGAGCAAGTTCCTTGCTGACGTAGGTTGGGTATTTAACATCCCTGGCATGGCGCTTACTTTTGGCTTGCCAGGTGCCTTGGAATTTTTATGAGGACACGCAGTTTAAAAAAAAAACTGTTTTTTTCCGAGCAGATTCCTAGACCTATGTAGCTTGGAATCAGGTATTCAAAAGACCCTGGGTTTTCTGTGGACGTGGCTACGCTGGGGATTTTTGGACCATTTTAGCTGTGCTGATGTAGCCGCCCCATTGCAACCCACTCCTCCCCCCATTGTAAATTTGCTGCACCAGCTTCAAAAGTAGCTTGCACCAATGCAGCTAATGCTGATTGAAACTTCGGACTGGATTGGGGAAGGGTTCAACTCTGCAAATAAATAGCTACAGAGCTAGGCGCTCAGACAGGAAAGTGGTCCCCTATTGAGGTCAAGACTCCAGGACCTTCCTTCCTTTTGAAGACTCTGGACATTGGAGCGTAAGGGTTAGAGATCTCCTGAACAGCTTGATGTAGGAATGTAAGCTCCAGACCAGCGATCCAGCTAGCCCTGTCTCCTCTCTTCAACAGAGGCTGGCACCAGATGCTTCGAGGAAGGTGCAGAAAACCCTGCCCCTGAATAAATCCCGACTTCCAGAAATGTTTTGCAGGTTGAAATTTCCTGATAAAAATGCAGCCTTTCTTCGCATTCATTTCTGTTAGGACGGAGATTATAACATGGCAGCAGACGGGGGGGAGCGGGGGCGGGCACGAAGGCTAGTGCTGACGAACTGGCCTCCCAACTGAGGCTAGGTCTACACTGGGGGGGGGGGTCGATTTAAGATATGCAAATTCAGCTACGCGAATAGCGAAGCTGAATTCGACATATCCTATTCGACTTACCCCGCTGTGAGGATGGCAGCAAATCGACCACCGCGGCTCCCTCGTCGACGGCGCTTACTCCTCCTGACAAGGTGGGAGTACGCGCGTCGATTTGGGGATCGATTTATCCGGCTAGATGAGACGCGATAAATTGATCCCCGAGGGATCGATTTCTACCCCCCGATCCAGGCAGGTAGTGTAGACTAACCCTGAGATAAAGATAGGGGCAGTGGGGAGAAGGACATGGCAGTTAGGATGACCAGATGTCCCGATTTTATAGGGACAGTCCCGATTTTTGGGTCTTTTTCTTATATAGGCTCCTATTACCCCCCCACCCCCATCCCGATTTTTCACACTTGCTCTCTGGTCACCCTAATGGCAGTAGAGGGCTGAGAGAAATAGCTGGAAGCCTTTGAAACTGTGAGAGAGAGAAAAAATTGGCAACGAAACCTAAGACAGGCGAAACCCTGGAAACAGCGCAGGAAGAGAGGCTACAGTTTATCCTACAGA